CACATTGTTTTCTTCCCAAGTTGAGAAAGTGAACGGCCTTGGGTACCCCGGCGGGAGGCACTTGCGGTCACTGACCCGCCAGGGGAAACCGAGCATCTGGAGCCTTCCTCCAGGCTCTGCCAGGGGAACGGCGTGGGGGCCCAGGGCAGGCTCCCCGCTGCAAGCGGCGCCGGGCTGGCCCATCCCGCGTTACAAATCAACAGCCACTTGTTGGGAACGTTTATAGAAGGAAGCAGCGCACAACATGCCCCCAAGACCTCTATCCATCCCAGCTGCGCCAGCTCCTACGCAGCTACCTGGAGCCATTGTTACAGCCCCGCAGCGTCCTTGCTGTCCTGGCAGCCCTGACACCTGGAGAGGGGAAACATCTTCACAGGGAAGCTGCAAAGGGCACAAACCTGTTGTTCCGCTGGGCTGTTACAAAGGGACCTGAGCTCCCGGTCCCCTTAAGCATTTAATTTAAATAGGCTTTAACGAATGCAAGCCTTCTGCTGGCTTTGGTTTCTGTCCTTTGGCTCATGTCTCTCACGCATCTAGTCCTTCCACAGGCAGAAGAGGGATGTTAGAGCAGTGGCCAAAGTCTGGGGAAGGCCTAGCTCTACAGCGAGAAGGCGAGGAGGCTCAAGCAAGGAAGCCGCTCCACAGAGGCTGATGTCAGATAGCTGTCTGTAAAATTAAGCTGCCAGTAAAATTAAATGAGCGCAGGACCCAACAGGCCAGAGTCGCTCTTTGCCTGGGGCAGAAATTCATGCCAGCGCGAAGGAAAGGGGAAACCAGGGCATTCTGATATGGGGGCATCTGGCACTGGTGTCTAAGGTTCAGCACTTTTGCAGCGCCCTCCCGGGCCAGCTCCCATGCTCCTTCACCACTTCAGATGCTTCCTCTAACAGACAGCCTGGAAAAGCAGGAAAGAGAGGGGACTCGCGGGCATCGACCTCCAGCAGGAATGGGAAAGTCAGCGACTTTCCGACTACAGTAGCAAAAGCATCTGGAGTGCAGAGGTGCAGGGGGCATCCTTGCCCTTAAGTAACCAGCTGGAGGAGGCTGCAACAGCAGGGACGCAGTAGCGAGCCCTCCCGCTCGGTGCAAGCCAGGCTGCGCTAGCAGGAGTCAGGGCACTTGCCTCCCTGGCCTCCTTGCCTTTTTTTGCTGAAAAGTAACACAGTTTAAGCAGAGCTGCTTGCAAGTAGCTTCTCCGCTGCATTGAATGAGACATGGGCACGCGCGAGAGGGTGGTGCGGGAACACTGAGTGAGGAAATAATGTTATTTTGCCATTTAAAAATCCAAAGAGAGGTTAATTCCCAGCTTGAAGTTGTGACCATGACAGGTTTTCATATTAGGCAGCAATTAAACCTACAAACTCCTGTTTATGATCACAAGGTTTTAAAAGGTAATAAATATCACTTTAGAAGCAAATAATCCATGACTTTAACAACAGAAAGAAATCTCAAGTATGTCTTTCACAAACTTGCCCTGAAACCAAACTGACATCTTCCCTCCCAGCATCACCAGAGACCCAGAATAGCTAGCAGGTCATAGCCCCAAGTCAGCCTAGGGTTTTCACAGGTGCAACTGCTGAAGCCCAGTAAGAGAGCAGCCAGTTGCATCTCTGTGCAGCACTCACTGCACTGCCAAACCCAGACTGAAAAAGCATCAATACAACTATTGCTGCTGACACAAGCAGCTCTGGGTGGTTCTTTGCTAGGCAGCACATGCCAGTGAGGAAGCCAACATAAAACATGCATGGAAGAAACATCTTCCAGTGGCTACCGTTTGCCCAACGCTCCTTGGCAGGCAACTGAGAATTAACCAGTCTCAGGCTTTTCACCATGAGCTTGTGATGCTGGCCAAAGAGCAGGCCTAGTGTTTTACCCTCAGGATATCACTCAATTTGATATTCAAACAAAACTAAACACTAGCAGAAGTCTCAAGTCTGAACGTAACAGCTCTGCAAATCCCACTCTGTCCTCTCATGTACCAAACAGCTACAAACAGATTGCAGTCACAAGGTGAAAGACTAAAGCAAGGTTGCAACACTTTGCTGCAAGAATGCAGAGCTGTTCCAATGTCCCCAGCCGCAGAGGACTGAGGGGAGAATAACGTATGGGCACAAGCACAATAACTCTCTGCAGAGAAGGGGAAATTAGGCCCCTCCAAAGTTTGTGCTGAGCAGCAACCTCAGGCTCATTTTGTGTTCTCTGTCAGTTGAGGACAGAAGAAATCCATGGCAATAAACAGGACCTCAACAACTCTTCAAATAAATGATCTTTTAGATATATCTACAGTGAGAAGACAAAAGCCCGAGATAAGGCATACTGTTCTTTTCTCTCTTGACCTGTTTGCCAGCAAGGACAAGGATCTGCTCACAATCGGGGGAAGCAGCCAGAGGCTTTCAGAAAACAAAGCAGTAGAGAAGCTGGTTTTATTCCACCGCTCGCTTTGCCGCCCTGTGGCCGGTCACAACCTATACACCAGGTTGGTTTCAGCAGTGAGCTGGACAGCACACTGATGTCTGAACAAATACATCAGTTGCAGTAGCGTTCACACCACAAGCATGAAGATACGACATAGCAGGAGGATCACTCAGTTTAAACTTTGTGCCCTAAGCCAAACCATTTCTCCCTTTCCAGCTTTCTAAGCCTGTAACCCCAAAGTTGCAGAAAAACTGGTTTAGAAAGGGCCTCAAGAAGTCACCTGCCTGCTTCTGCTGTCCCAGCACAGGATCACATTATTCCTTACTATTGTTTATTCTGTTTCCTGAAAACTTCTCACACTGCAAGTTGCCGATGTTCACTTTTTACTCATGTCTAATAACCTCAATTCCCTTGACTAATTTAAGGCTGGTGTCAAGTGCCTCACCCACAGCTGACATGCAGGTTATCCCCTTCTTTGCAATATTCACCTATTTGAATATTTCCACCACCCTTTCTCTAAGCTAAGCAGCCTCAGCTCCTTCCATCATCTCACACCAGCCACATTTCCACACCTCAGTCATCCCAGCTTTCTAGCTCAGCCATAATATTAAGAGCAGTGCCAACTGCCGCAGAAGCTGAAGGCTTAAGGTTTATTAGAGTAGAGTAACATCAGTTAGAGCTACACTCCCACTCAGCGTAGTATCAGTTGGACACGTTCAGTCTGGGCCACTAACCCACAGACTCCTGGGACAGACGCTCCCATGTTGCTCTTCAGCTACTGGTGTTCTTATCCGGGTGTAGCACTTTGCAGTTGCCCTCGTTAAATTATGTAGTGCTTACTTCCATGCAATTTGTCCAGTGCTCTGTGGACCTGCAGTCATCACAAGTTCCCTCCACCCCAATGGCAAACAAATGCATACATGTCACTAAGCCATTTAGAAAATATTCTAAGGCCCAGGAGCCTCATTCCATCCTTCCAATGACATTAACTACTTTGATCCAAAAAATGGCTGGAAACAACACTCTGCCCAGTTTCACATGGTGCAAGGGTTACAAAAAAAACTCACAAAAAAATGAAACTGCTCTTTTACTCCTACATCTCTGATAACTCTTCAGATAAATATGTTTCACAGCAGGTAATGCAGCAGTTGATTCTTGTTATCTAAGCAACTACTAAAAAAGTTTCTTACTGCCAAAAAATACCCTCTTCAACTGACATGCCTGAGCCCTAGAGTCACGAGATTTAGGCACTTTGCTGAGGCACCCAAATTATGACTAGACCAACCCTGTAGAGAAATCCATCATTTTCAAAATGCAATACTGAACACAGGTGGGCTAAACAGCTGCAGCAAGAAGGGAGAGTGGATACAACCTCAGAGCATCCTCAAAGGCTTGTTCACTCTGGGTACTTTCCACATAAGTAACAATTCACTAGCTCTGAAACTACTTCATTGAAAGTATTTATAGAAGACTATTACTAAATTTTTATCACCTTGCCTGCCTTCCCTCCTATTCCCCCCCCCGCCTTCCTCCCTCCAAAAACAGTTTCCAGCAAATTGAAAATATGGCAAAAAAGTACTTCTTGGCAACAGGTTCAAAAACAGGAGCTGTTGGCTTCGAACAATGAGTTATCATTAAAAAAAGCTGACTACAGCAGGTAACACTGACAAACCATGTTTAATGTCGGTCTAATCCGAAATGGCAAGATCAGGCATTACAGATTAAGCAGTTAAAATTGATTGTACACAAACTCATGCACAATAGTTAGCAGTTTTACCATCTATCTGCAAGCAGTACTAAGGAAAAGTGGTGCGAGAGTTTCTTGACTATTGTCCCTAGACACAGCATGTTTGAAGATAAATTTAATCCCTGAGCTAAGATAATGCATTGCAAAGCCACCAGAAGTCACACACTACACCAAAGGGATCAAATTCCAAGCTTTCCAAATACCTGTGGAATTCCTTGCTTCAAGAACGTCCACAACCTTTGTGCCTACAGCTATTGTTTGCTCATGGAAAGCCATCCAAGGCACTTAAAATACTAAAGGCTGCTGAAGAATATATTCAGGTAAAAGGTTTAAATATTTGCAAGCATCCTTTTCAACTCACATTGCAGCTCACTTATAATTTTTCCACCAAAAACAAGTCAAGAGTACTACCTGTGCAAAGCACAGGCTATTTCCAAATTGTTGTTGAGTGCATGCAAGTACTAAATGCCTGCAAGTTTTATTGAAGGCCTTAACTTTATTAGAAATGAAAGGCAACACAATGAAAAACTACTAACAAATTGCTCCAGAGTGGAAATGCATCTAAGGTGAACACAGAACTTCAGATGGTTTTAATTTTATAACCAAAATCAGTGAAAGAAATCTGTATGAAATAAATTCTTGATATCTAGAATTGAGTGCATTTATTTTTCTCCCATGATTTGGGAGTAGAAAAGATAGACCTTGATTTTAAAGTATCTGAATTTGACAACCGGAAGTTTAACCTGTAACTCAGCTGACCCACAGATAATCGCTTATCAAGAGGTCACTGTCTTCCATTTCTCTGCTTTATCAAACAAGGAACTTGCACTGTATGTCTTTCATGGAAAAATATTTACACAGAAAATTTAAGATTAAGTGCTGTTATTGAAGCAATTTAATAAATCCTCCCTAAAAAAGTCTGCTAATGCATATCTAGCAATTTATTGTTTTGAGATACTACACTCAGTGTAATTTAAATAGCATTTGAAACATTCCAACAGGAATCAGATTGTACTGGAAGAAGCAATCTGCTTCTCTTACATTTCTGTACACACCTGCCTAGAGCCTGTGCATTAAATGCACAGGTTTACAATGCCAAGCTTCTACATAGGAACCTATTACACTACAGAATGAAGTTCTTTGGAATGAAGACAAGCACAGCACATCTCGGTCTCTATGCTGTAATGACTTAAAGGTTTTTTGCAGCTCCGTTTGCTTGGTCAATGCAAGCCAGAGAAAACGCCTTCTATTTTCACTCATATTTTGGAGTCGGAATTTGATTTAATCAGGTAGATTAAAACTTGCTGAAGCTTCAGACAAGTAGACTCGTGTCAAATCAGTTAGTTACGGACTCCTCTAGGCCCTTCTGGAAGGAGAGATGCAAAAAAAGTCTTGAAAAAAAGCCATGCTGTGCTCATAAACGAAGGGCTGGCCTGCTGGTATTCTAGTAAAAGTTGTCCCTCCTCAGAAGAGGCCGCTGATTCATCTACTCCGCCTGCATTTTCTTCTTGCTGAAATAAAGGATATTTGGTAAGTGAGTACTATCTTTAAAAATGCTGTTTGACACCTGATTAACATGTTGTTACTCTTACAGAATATAAAAGGCATACTTCTGTACCAAAATATCATCCCTGCACAACCACATAGCTAGAAGAGCAAGCTGCACACTATTGTAGCTGCTTTATTCATGGTGCATATTCAAGAACACCGTGTTTAGGACAAATACCTACAGCAAGAAAGCAGTGACACATGAGACCAGAACAAGTGAACATTTACACGTTTACAACCATCTTTAAATAACATCCACTGACATGAACCAGAAGGGTCAACTTAAAGTGAATTACTCAAGATTGCTTATACGTTCAAGTAAATCCTGTCACTACATTAGTCTAAACATTTTCTTCAGTTATAGAATCTCTTCAGCTTGTGATAAAATTACTCTCTGCTACTGCAACAGGTACGAGCCTACCCCTACCTACTGCAAATACCTGCATTTTCCACAGTCGCATAAAAATCTGATGAGTCTGCTACAAGTTCTACTACAAAGGTACCCTATTCTAATCAAGACTCGTGGCATAAAGTGCCAGAGTTGCATATTTATGGAGAATTAGCAGAATTAAGATCTAAATCCCAACCACTTCCCATCAAATGACAAAGACTGTCAGTTCTTTAGAAATCTTTGGGAGGACATACTAATGGACAAACTACAAGGTAACATCTAGCCTGAAATATTTTCTAGAACAGAGGAATTAACCATGCCAAAGGAGGATGTAGGCTGGCAATTATTCCACCATGGAAAAGAGCTTCTGATAAAAATTTAGAGTTTTACTTTTCGCTTCTAGCTGTAATTAACAAACTGAAAATAAAACTTCACAGGATTTGACGTTCATGGTTTAAAAACAAGACAATACCTGTAAATTATTGTTCTGATCCTGGTTTACAGCAGCTTGAGGAGGAACATTGTTTGGGAAGGGATGAACTGGCCTTCGTCTAAATGGAAGCCATCCAACATGATGCCTAGGAAAGCCAATAGATTTATTAATACTGATGAAACTCTTGCCTGTTACAACAAGACAATTCAAGTAACATCTGACTGCTCAAAGAATTACAAACTGCAAGTTTAACATATTAAGATCTAGTCTGCCCTGACCTATGAAGACGCTGGAGGAAGTACTTTCAAAGCTATTGAAAAAAAAAACAACACTATTTTTTCAAAGCTGCTTCTATTAAAAAAGAAGCTATGAGGTAGAATGAATATCTGCTAGCATTCAAAGTAACAGGTATAAAGCTGAATGCAGTGCTGCTTAATCATGATCCTAAGGCTGCTGGAGCATGCTGCTATAGGTATGAGGAGAGCTTGGAGTTCGCTTTAAGCCAAGTGTTACGCACAGCCCTGGGTAACTTTGCTACACTCACCCTAGGAAAGCTGTACAACAAACAACTTAAGACTGGTACTGTCCCACAAACACATAACAGGTCATATAGAGCTGCTTAGGAAATCAGTGTCTCTGCAGTACCTGCATCTTGTAACTTTAAACAATTTACATTTTGGGTTAAGTTTAACAGTAATAGTCAAAGTGTAAGGACTACCAATGAAGCAAATAAACTTCCCAAACTTTATGCAGGCTTTGCAGAGTGAAAAGCTGAATGTTTGAACTGTTCCATAGTATCAACTTCTAGACCTACCAACAGCAATTCAAAGGGCAGTATCACTTGTTTCACCAACAGCAATTCAAAGGGCAGTATCACTTAATTCCAAGAATTTAAGAGGAGACAGATTATCTTTCATGGACAAAGGATCCCAAATGTACCCGCTGAGGGCCTGTCATCTTTAACTGAACTAAGAGATGGCCCAAGTTTTTCCTTATAGGAAGACTTAAGCAACTCAGGACACTTGTATCCAGTTTAGTTTTGTCTGCTCCCCAGAGAGGCAACACACAGCAGAAAGAGCCATGTGGTTACATGACTTACAGATAAGGCATGAAATTCTTTCAGACAGACCTCATGCAACTGTTCCCAAACAGGAAAGTGTTACTTACATTTGAACCTACATGTCTGTCTGCTCTACACTATAGAGTTATTAGGGATTTACACTGAGCTACTTTGGTTTCAAACAGTTCTCTAAAGAATGCCAGAATAAGCTTTAACATGACAAAGTGTAACATACCATCCACTATCACACACTCTTTATCCAATCCAGGAGTAGGCTATAGTTATATTTTTAATGCTAAACACTGAGTTAAAGCACTCCTTTTATCCTGGTGTAACTTTGCTGTGTATAAGAGTCATATGAAACTCAAATACAAGAAAGCTCAACACTGTACAGAGGTTAATATTTCCATGAAGTGCTTCCAAATATAATACTAAGTATTAGTATCATACACTTACAGATACATCAAAACAGTGCCACCCATAACCAGGATAAATCTGCTGACGCTAGAGTAGAAATAGATGATGTTGACAAAGACATAGAACAGTGTTGCTGAGTAGAGCCAGTCCAACCAATCTCGATTGCCACCATCCTCCTCTTCCTCCATGAGCGGACCCCCTTGGGCATTCATTCGTAGGTTTTGGTTGGCCACTGGGTTAACCTGCGGAGCAACGTTCTGGTTTCCAGGCCGATTTTGTGCAGGAAACTGGTCTGGGAGAGGAGCCGGTGATGTCACTGGTGCCACTGGTATCTCCTGAGAACGCTGTGCATGGGATGGGTCAGCAGATGCAGCAGTAGAAGCCAAGCTGAAAACCAGAGAAAAGCACAGAATAAAGCGTGGTCAAATGCTTTTGCATCTGATGCTGGTATTAAAAAACTGCTCAATTTGTTAGAAGTATAAAACTAGAGTAACATTATATACGCAATTATAAATCATCAAGTTCAGCAACTAGAGCAGTGTACAAGATGGAAGTTGGTTCTTCCTACAACAATAATTGAGTGATGACAAGCAAGTCAACCCATGCCACAGTTGCACCTTCAGTTTTAAGAATAGCTTCAATACTTGGTAGAAGCTTTCCAGATACCTTTAGATTGCTCTGAAAGCATTTTTACAATCCTTGTCACCGGTAAAGCTAAGGATTTACTTTCAGTGGCCTAGAGCTGCTTTAATTGGACAGAAAAAGATAAGGCTCATCAGCAGGATTTAATTTATTCTGCAGTCACCTGCCTTCCCATTGAAAAAGGGCAATATCTACAAATTCCTAGACTCAAAGCCACTGGCCTAGAGAGCGAGCCAAACACCAAGTAACAGTTAGAGACACATGACACGTTTCCACACCAGACGATGCAAGGTGCAAAAAATTGTGTATGCCAACTGAGTTTCATCAAAAGAGAGAAAGAGCTGCCATGAGTTTTCCATGTCCTTATATTACAGTTTCTACTGTCTGCTGGTAGAGTTTTTTTTAAAAGAAAACTTACTATTGCATGTAATATTGTCTTGCATAAATCTGCTGAAACCACGACATCTGAAGCATGCTGTAAGTTGTGTAAGCAGAAAACCCAGGAGCCACACTTTGGAAAGGATGCTGAGTTGTTTCAAGCCTTGTTCAAAATTTAAACATAATACAATTGTTAATAAATCAGTTTCCCAGTTTGTCCTGTATTTATTACAGGGCACATGCAAATAGCTTCTGCCATCTTACACATGCCAAAAAAAATTAATTCTTATTTTTAGGGCATTAACAAAAGCAACTCTACTCACATGACTAAAGGGAAGATTTTCAACTAGCAGAGCAAATCATTTCCCTTTAGCTTGTTCAGCGTCCACTAAAGCTTACAGATCCTCATCACCCTTGGTCTATATGCCATTGGCTTAGCATAAAACAAATGACATAAAACATCAATCTGAAGGGACTTTTGGATGCCAGCCCTTCTAAGAACTTTATTGACATAGGCAACAAGCATATTTACCTGGTACCGGCTTCCACTGAAGACTGGTTGTCAGAAGAGCCCCTCCGTCTTTCACCATTTGAGGAAGACACAGAAGGTTCTTGACTAGCTTCTGGCAATACCTTGGGCTGACCAGTTTTAATCTGGGGAACAACAATGCAGTTAGTGAGGACTTGCTCAGAATACTAAGAAAGCAAAAAAGGTCACATCACACTGAACATACTTCAGTTTTAGAAGTTCATACAGTTTGTCCTGCAGCACCTCTCCTCTAGGTGCTGTCACAGTTCTAACACTGCTCTAAATCACCATCCCACCAGCAACTCCATCAACATTTTAAAGCTCCTTAAAAGCTACTTGCATATAAAAATGACTTGATTTTACTCTTTTCATTTTCAGGATTTCTAGGTATGTATTTCATAATTCTGTCACATATATAATCAGGTCCTGTCTGGTTATAAGAATGCAATTGGAAAAAAATACAGGGAACTGCACTCAAAACAGTTTGGCTTGTTAGCCCTGAAGTGTTTATACTTGCATATATACACTGCTGTATAGAGGCGCTAAGTCAAGAGCTGCTGTGCTAATGTACCTGTACTATATTCAGACCAGAGCTGTTTCACATCTGGCAAACTCCAAACATAAATAGACTAAATTCAAATCACCTGTAATGGACAATCAAAGTGTACCTTTAAATATGCTAACCCACTCTTGGAAGTAAAATACATCTTTGGCCATTTAGTATCTATTGCACTTTACACCAGTAAGTACTCAGTTCAAGTACTAACGCTTATCTTTAGCTTCCTCTCTACTGACTTTCCAGGTCATTAATGAGAGCAGTTAAAATGCCTTCAACTAATAGTTGTCTTTCTACCTCAAACTGATGTGGGGTCAGAAGTCCTTTTCTGTCCTAAACAGCTATGTCTTCTGCACACAAGCACAGCTTTTCCATCCAAAAGAGCTGGGCATATGACAGGTCATATGCTATTTAACAAAACTGAATTTACCAGATATAGACTTTGCCTAGCTGTAAAATACAGCTAGGTTGAAAGTTTTGATGTTTCTCAACAGATTCCATTAGAATCTTTACTTATGAGCCATAAATGAATTTGTATAGAACTTATTCAAAAACGTTTTCACACCCCTAACTAGTAGAACTATCACCAGAAGGAATACTGTTATTACTGTACTACTGCAAGAAAAGTCTACAGCATCAGTGAGCTTTAAAACAGTCATTACATACTTTCCATTCTTCAGATAGTCAGAAGCTCAAGATTCAGAGTAGCACGTTAAGTCAGTATGACTACCTTTGCATCAGTTTCTTGTGCGATCACAGGAGTCTTGAGGTTGTATACCAAATGAAGAGCATGCAATTCCTCCTGCTAAAACATAAGCGAGGGCACGTTAAAAAGTAATTGTTGCACCTTGCTTGACATATAAGCACTACATAACCTTTTTTTTTGTTTGTTTGTTTTTACCTTCAGCAGCAACTCTCTCAGATAATGATGGTCAAGCAGCAGCTTCCCAGAGTAAATCAATCTTTGGTCCTCTTCAGGCTTTGAGGGAAGACAGAATATGGTGGTTACCTACTCTGGCAAGTGCACGCAAACATTAGACATTTGCATTACGCATAAAACTGATTAATATGCATCTGTCCATTTGACCATGAATCATACAATTGTAAGTACCTTGCACATTAAGTTGCAGAAGGAATTGTGCACATCCAAGAATTTGGCTAATACGATTAGAGCAGTTGATTACTGAAGTGCAAAATGCCTAGCACTGAGATCTAAACCAGCAGGAGGATAAAAAAACATTCTGTTGGCAAAGGACTTGCAGTCTTTTGTCAGGACTGTAAAAGAGTTGACATGTAGCTTCCTAGAAGCAGAGGTTTGCAGCACTGTCTAATCTGAGCAGCACTGAAGGTGTTACCAAATAAATCTGTTATACCCCCTGAGATGAATCTGAGCAGCTGTTCACCTAAAATCCTCCTACTGCTGCATAACAGTTAGTGAGAACACACTAATCTTGTTTCTGGGCAATCACATAAGTCCACACACAGCTTATTAGAGCTTTCATAGATGCTAGTAAGTCATGTCTCAAGCAGCTGCTAAAAAAGTTCACACAAGTGATGCAATACAGTTAGAACCTGTGTCAGCATCCAGAAGCTGAGTGAGGTGGCTTGCTTCCACTAAACTTAGTCATCGAGAGGCAAAAGCACATATCCTCCAGTGAGAACATTTTGTACATGAAACTTATGCCAACTGCCCATCAGGTGAAACAAAGAACAGCACTACATGCTTACTGAACTTTCCTGAGGTCAATCCACAAGATCTTGCGACTTAAAGCAATTCCAACTGCTGCATTTAAAGTTTCAAACAACTCTGCAAAGTCTGCTACTGAGCTATAAATATTCAGCTGCTGTCTTCAAGGTCTTCTGCTTTACAGTGTAAGAGCTTTTAAATGCTGTGCCTATTAAACCAAAAAGGTGTCTCAGTCCACTGGCTACACCCAAGATATTTCATGCAATTTCATAGATGCTGTTTGACAGGAAACCTTGCAGATGCACAGTTTTCACCTAAACAGTAAGATTTATTGACTCCGCCCATCATTCAGACCAAGTTCTCCCAACAAAAGCAGAAAAGTTTCCAACCATACGCTGTGAACACTTCTAAAGCACACTCAGTACCCTCTCAGGCAAAGTTAATATTTAACAGCGGTTAAACAAGAAACCGAATCAACTCCCAAAATAACTCCCAGCAGAGCCCGAACAAGTTTCACATCTATATTTATCAGCAAGCCAGAGGCAACGGATGCGAGGCGGTGCAGGACCCCCTCCCCCGGACCGCCTGCAGAAGCGG